ACCCATGTTTGAGTGCATTTGGCTCTTTTGAATTTTCACTGCTTCTTTGTGCTATTCTATAGGCGTCGCTAACACGACTATAATGCGATCGTTTGCATACTCGGAGAAGAACCGGATGGACGAGGATCGTGAGTACCATGAGGTGTACGAAGATGACTACACTGAAGGTGCCACATCCCACCCAATCTCGTAGCACCTATTACACATGGCTAAAATAGAAATGCTAGTACTTTACTTTATTGTTATGATCACACTATGATAGGACTTGCATGGTAGTATACTTTTTTGATGACCTTTGCCTTGACGCAACCTTACCCCTGCTCACCCTGCTGATAGGCTAGTCACACGCTTGCTACTATATTTCATTGCTTATTACTTCTACTACGCTTGCACTACATGGTGTGTGGTGAAGAACTGGTGTTATCTGGACTATGGGGAGAGTGCTGCGTGTGTGACTTGGGTGCGTGGAGGGTGAGGGTTGTGTCGACCAGGTTGGAGTATACGACGAGCCTAGGGCAAGTCTTGCCGTGGGGTGCTACCTGGGCACCCCTAGAATGGATACCTGTGGTGGGTAAATGGTATATGAGGTGGCCTTGGGTGTGAACCTATGATGGGAGGAGCCTAGGGTGGAGGTGCTGTGGTGGCACGGTAAATGAAAACCCTGATGGAGACATTCTGGCTTGATCATCCTTAAGGACTTACTAGTACTCAGATTCACCGGGAAGCCTTACGTACCACTCGCCCTATATGGTGCGGGACGACCGGACTACTTGGTAGGATATTGCCACTACTGCTAGGTTGATAGCGGACAGTGTGAGGGAGGTACGGGGTGCGGAGGATTCCCCCCACACCCTTCCAAGACTTCATGGAGACCTTGTGGACCCGGTTCTTGACTCACAGTTTCAGCCACCCAGACCCGACTTGGGGTGAACCAGGGCTGAATGGTAGAGTGGCATTATCCTAGGCTAGCAAGCGGCCAGAATCAGCCCAGTTGATGACGGTCAGCGAGGAAGACGGATCTTGTGGTTATGTAAAACCTCTGCAGAGTGTATGGTTGATCGATCGATACATATGCCGACTCGTCGGCAATGGACCTTTCCTAGGTTTCGCTTAAACTAGATAGTGAGATGAGTCCTTCTTTTCTCCCCCTGGGAGTGAGTGTTCGGACGTAGCCAGGGGCTATGGGCCTTGAGACAGTGCCGAGAGGGAGTTGGCCTGTCGACTGAGCGATGGTATGGGAGTGGTATGGTGATGGTGTGGAGATGGTGGTGTATGGATCCCAGGATCGAAACCTGGCTCTGGAATGGGAATGGGGTGGAATGGGTGTGTGAATGGTGTTAAAACTTGACCAACTATTAATAAATACTTGATATAGGAAACCCCAGCCTTATAGGTTCCTTTTGATTATATCCAACTTGCATCCAATTTCCACAAAGCAATGCTCATAGGGTTGGGAGTGGCCAGTACAAATCATACTGATAAATTTTGGCACACAGGTTCTGCTGAGGAGTATAGCTCTGAGGAGATTGACGGTTGAGGGGTTCGTTCCTACGCTCGAGTTTGGCAATCTTATCTTCAAGCTGTTCTGAATGAATGCTACTTTTGATTCCTCCAATGTGGCGATGTAATAAACTTATGTAATTCCACACTATTTGTACTCTGATATTATCATTGTATGGATGTGATATTTGACTAGAATTTGGGTAATATGATCTACAACGGTCTTATTACACTTCAACACTATGGATTTCCCTCGCGGAAATCGGGGTCGCTTCAATCTCCATCATTGATTCATCATCTTTGTGAGATTGGGATTGAATCCAAATGCATTACTTGAGTGATTGCATCTAGAGACACTTGGTGTTCATGTTTCGCTGCGGGTTTCGCTTATTACTCTTGGTGGTTGCCACCACCTAGACGGCTTGGTGCATCGAGGATCGTCAAGCAGAGGAAGGTGCTTGTCTCTGGCTCTGATCGTGGTGATTGTGAGGGGTTCTTGACCTTTCTCCGACAGAGAGTTAAAAGATACTCTAGTGGATTGCTCGTGACTTATGTGATTCTCATCTTGTGTTGGTTGTGCGGCACCCAGTTGTGGGTTTGGCATGTGATGTCAATTAGCGCGTGAACCTCCAAGTGAGTGAATCGCCACAACGAGGACTAGCTTACCGGCAAGGAAGTGAATCTCGGTAAAAAATCTTGTGCCACCTTGTCCGAGGATTTCTTGGCTATCTTGTGATTGATTGATTGGCTTCATCTTGTGATTGGCACATACCTCGACACGTCGGTATAACCATCATCATCCTCTCTTGTATTTAAATTTCTAGTGTTGCTTCGCTCTTTAATGTAGTTAGTCTTGAGAGCAAGCTCGTGTCGGGTCTAGTGGTTAGTGAGACTCTTTAGTTAGCCTTTGAGAGCTCGCTAACTTAGTGTAGTGACATAGCCTTTGTGTGGATAGAGACCATAGATACTAGAATTGTGGTATATGACTTGCATTTTTAGTAAACTAGCACAATACTCGCTTCGCTGTTTAATTATTTAATATTTTTACTAAGTATTGTTGTAGAAAATTTTAATAGACTATTCAACCTAAGCAACCTTTCAGGTCTGCAGCGGGAACACCCGAGGATGGATGGCCGCCAACGCCACCAGGTGCAGCCTTGCCTTCAACTCCAACTCTGATCTGCGGCACCACGACATCGAGAACCCGCCGCCTCTGATCTGCGGCAACATTCGTCATGTTCGCTTGGCTTATAAGCTGTACTTTTTCAGCCAACGAATAATATTTTCTCTCACAATAAATCAGCCAATAATACTTTCAGCCAGCCAAACGAGCAGGTCAATTGTGACGGTGCCTCTATTGTGCCACCACGGCCTTGGCCAACCTCGCTGGCGCACCCACAGCATCAACAACCTGCAGAGCCTCACCGTCATCTCCGCGGACGTCGCTGCCCGAGCTCCGCCTGCCTCGTCAAGCCTCACCGCTCCCCCGTCGTCCCTGAACCCACGGTCATCGTCCCTGTCATCAATGGAGACCGACATGCCGACCTTGGCCCTGTCCTGCTCCCGCCCCTACTGCCCCTGGCCCTCGGCGCGCGAGAGGAGATCTCTGCAAACACACATGTGAGCACACACGCATTCGATCCAACAGACTTGTGCACTGCGAGAACAAGAACAGGCGGTGAGCAAAGTTTGTCGAGCAATAAAGAACAAATTGATTCCAATCTCTCGTCTTTTCTCCATGGTACAGACCAAGCAATGAAGAATAGATAAGTGCCTCGAATCCACAGCTCGTGCTTGCTGCCGCTATTGCAGAGCCTGCTGTTCGTGCCTGCCGCCGCCGTCGCGGAGCCCGCTGCTCGTGCCTCCCACTGCGTGTGAGCCAGGCAGTTGTGCCACCAGTTGCGTGCTCACGGAGCTAATGCGTGGCGTCTCTCGAGCGCAGGACGTCAGATCCATCGCATCGGGGCTAGAATTGCGCCGCCAGCCATCTCCTGTGCGCTCGGAGCTGAAGCTGTTGGGCGGTGCGGAGGTGCGCACGACCGGGTGCAAGCCGAGCGGCACGGTCATGGAGGTGAACACTACCAGGTGCGAGCAGAGCAACACGGTCATGGAGGTGCACGTGAACGGGCGCGGGTCCAGCGGCACGGCGGCTCGCGTGGCCGAATAGTGAGAAGAAACGCTACGGTCGCTTAGCCTGGACGATGCCCCGGAGACGCCGGACCTGGACCCCGACCCCGACGATGCCCCGGAGCACGAGCTCCCGGAGATGCGGCTGAAGGTGTGAAGGGGCCTGACAGCTGAGCCCCACCGCCAGCAGGTCTTTTGTTGCCAGGTTGGAGTGTCACGTAGGCAAAACCGGCTGCCTAAACCACTCAGAGTGAATTAAACGGTTTGAAAAAGTTTAATGTGTTCATTAGACGGTTTCAAAATTTAGGGGGGTGAAATTGACATAGGACCAAAGGTGAGGGGGTTACGTAGACTTTTTCTGTTGAAAAATTGTCGCACCGCATCAGGGATGCGGCGAGTTTGGAGTTGCTGCAGGGCGGCAAGACGATGGTTGAGCTCGAGTTGGCGGTGGACGAAATGCAGAACGAAGCAGGTCAGGGTGGCCACGGGCCATGGCGGCAAGGACGCCACCTAGGACGACTAGAGTAGGGCGTGAGGCGAGCGCAAGGAGCGAGCATGCAGACGCGAGACCGTGCGAAGAAGACGATGAACATCAGATGTGATGAAGACTACACCTACGCGATGCAACAAACTTACATAGACCAAACTATCGTGCTATGGGACGTCCCGTGCTATGGCCCTGTTTGGTTCCGCTCATTCTCGCGTTCGTGACCGAGATGAGCCAAAAATGTCACCAAACGGGTTGCGTCATGCTCGCGACCAGCCATCGCACGTCCACTTATACGCAGAAAATAGCCTACGGCCGAAACACGAGCCAAGGCGTGCGGTTTGGAGAACGCGGGTTCGTGTTCGCTCACTCCCTCCATCCCTGGCGCCGCCTCTCTCCCCGGCGCGGCCACCATCTCCGACGCGGCTTCCCTCCCCGGCGCGGTCTCCATCCCCGGCGCAGCCTCCCTCCCTGGCACCGTTCCATCCGTCAGCGCCTCCCTCCGGTCTGGCTCCCGCCTCCACGAACGTCATCGCCTCCCTGCAGGATTTGGCCTCCCGCCGACGGCCTCCACGACCGGGTCACTCCCTCACCGCTGGCTCTCGCCCCACCGCCGGCTCCCTGCGAGCTCGTGCGTCGATTGAAGAAGGACCATGATGCAAATAGAAACTCTTATTTGGGTACAGTTGCAAGGCTCACAAAAATAGTAGTAAATAGTGCTACACAGTTTGAGAAAAATTCAGGGTTTCCAATGTAAAATATTATACCCGAAATAATCAGGACCGCCAAACACTCCGTTTAGACAGCAGATTTTCTAAATCGTAGCTTATTATATAATTCTGCTCAACCTATAAGCGAGACTGCCGTAAGCTGAACAAATCAGGGCCTATGTATCCCCTTCCGCCGCGGGACACACAAGGGAAACCAGAACAACGAAGCTAGCCGCGAAGGCCTCCATGGCCGCCCCGTCGAGCGCCACCGACACCTGTACGCCGCCGTCCTTCGCGCCAAGCAGCGTCACCATCTGCCTCACGAACAGGGACACCAGCTCGACGCATGTCGGCGCGCCCCACCCAAAGTCCGTCTCGTACGCCATGAACCGGTGCGACGACCCCACGGCCACGAACCTCTCCTGTGGGACGGCACGGTAGGCCGCCGTCCAGCTCTCAGCGTCCGACAGCGGGTCGCCCCCGAGCTCCTCCAGGTGCTTGCGGATCGCGTCCTGGATGGGCGCGGCGGCGCACGCGACGCCGCCGCGCCGCAGGTGGCCCGCGCTGGCCCGCGCGAAGCACGGCTTGACGCAGTTCCCGAAGAAGGCGTCCCCGAGCGGCGGGCGCAGGCGGTTGCGGCAGTCCGCGCTGACCATGAGTTGGACGTCGTCGGCGTCGTGGATGGAGGGCTTGGCCCGCAGGACGGACGTCCACGCCAGGGACGAGATGGCCACGTAGGTGCTCGGCGGTTTGGACGGTTCGCCGCCCTTGACTGCTCTGCTCTGTTCAAGGATGTGCTGCTTCAGGGACCGGATCTCGTCGGCGCGGAGCAGGAAGGTTCTTCTGCTCTGCTGCATGATCTCCGGTTTGGATGACGCAGACCTGAGCTGTTCGATTGTCGGATTGTTCAATGAGCAATTCGTGTACAGATCAATTTCACAAGAAAATATTTCAGAATTCAGATTAAAAGAGACGGTGGCATAAATACTCGAAGATTACCAGGGGCAGCGCCGGCGCGACCAAGCTCAGTACCGTGCGGGCCATCTCGGCAGCCTTGGGGTGCCGAATGCCGGCCTGGTCAAACGTCGGCTGCACGAAGCCAGGCGCCGTGAGGGAGGCGGGGCCCTCCCGCGACGCCGTTGACCACGCACTCAAGAACCGCCACACCGCCTGGCCGTCTGCCACCGCGTGCCGGATCGACACCCCAACCGCCACGGCGCCGCCCCCGCCGGCGGGCCTTGTGACCTGCACGGCGAGAACCGGGGCGGGCAGCTGCCTCGCCTCGAGATCCGGGACGAGCTGCACGAACGCGCGCGTGTCGTGCTCGGCGTCTCTGGCCAGGCGGCGCATGCCGTCGGCGCCGCTGGAGAACTCGGCCTCGACGAACCTGACCCCCGAGGAGACGGCGGCGGGGGAGAAGTCGAGGACGACGTCGCCGGAGGCGGGGCGGAAGGCAAGCTTGCCGGCGAGGGGGAGGAAGACTGCGAGAGTGGCGGCGAGGGAGGACCGTAGCGCGCTCACGAGCGACGGGAACGGCGGGAGGTCGGGGCCGTCGAAGAAGAACAGCCGCTGGATTGTCTTGGAGATCTGCAGCAGGTCCAAGAAGGACAGCTTCTGCTCGCCGTCGCACGGCGGCGACAGGCCGTCGGTTCGCACGGGATGGACATGGTTGGTGTTGAGAACACACACCTGAGAGCTCATGGCGGAAACTAGCATACTATTACTTAGCCAAACAAGTTCGGTGACGATGAGGTGTGAGCTCACCAATTACTGTTTAGATTTCTACACATCCGGATCCAGCGTTGGGCTGCCTCCTCGGCTCGTGAGCTCGTCCTGTGCCGACAGGAAGCTGAAAAGCTGAGAGCCGCCACCACCATTCCACCAAGCACCAACGCCTTCCGCTTCCATGCCTCCCTAGTCCCTCCCACACCAAAAAAAAAAAAAAAAAAAAGTTAGGCAGCGTCAGCCTAACTGCGAACAATAGATTTGTCCTCTCCCGTCTCCGGCCGTTACCGTTGCTGTTTCTCTAGCCTGTGGCACGAATTCTCGTTGCTGTTTCTATAGCGCGCACAAGGTGTTCGACGGAATGCCGTGGACACATTGCGGCCACCTTTGCAGAGTTTGCTCGTGGAGCCGCCAGTAGCGTGTGGTTCAGGTGATGATGCAAGAAAGGTCCTTGAAGAGAAGATCTGCCCTGGGAAGTGGTTTGATTCCTCTCTCAGGATTTGTTGCTCCAATCATCACAACCCCAGAGAATAAGAGGAAATGATCAGTCTAATAAGCTGGGCCTGGGTTTATGTTGTCAGGTATCACTGAATAGCTCTTTTATATTGGCACTATTCTTCAGATATTTCTTGCGGTGTCATCCACATGTATTACACGTAGTCACTATCCTTCTTATTTATTAAAATTAACAAACTAGATTTAACTAACAAGATAATATCAGTGCGAAATGAAATTTCGTCTGCATAAATCAGAATTCAGAAAGATTGACTTGGCTTTATGAATTACACATAGATTTGTTCAATGTGCTTGCTCCTGTGTTCTTTCTGCTATCTGACTTTCGAATGTGCCTTCATTGTTTCTTAATGGGTAGAGTCTTTCTTTGATTTTATGAAGTTCTTTTACAACGTCCCGCATTTGCATCCTCTCTGCAGGTAGTTGTTTTGAACAGATGAGGCCAATCCTCAGAATGGAAGCAAGGCATGAGAGTGTTGCTTCCTTGTTAAGAAGTGAGTTTGGGTCCCTCTCCGTGTCTTCACTTAATGGAATGAGATTGTGGTCAGCTACAACCTCAAGATGATTAGGAAATGCTGCCGCAACAAAACTATGAAGGTCTAATTCTGACTGAAAATTTTCTTCAGTAGGACTTCTTCCAGTGAACATCTCTAGTAAAAGTATTCCATAACTGTAGACATCTCCACAGGTGGTAACTTCATTGCCAATTCCATATTCTGCGAGTATGTGATTGCATGAAAGTCAAAAGTCAGTGTGTTAATACCAAAGCAGATGACACAAAATTTTAGATATCACTGATGTTAATGCCAATTGCCAAATCAGATAATGGATAATGCACAAGTTATGCAAATGGGAAAATGTCACAACAGATCAAACTGTTAATTATCTCAAATGATTTATATATTCCAAAAGGTTTCAATGTACTTTAGGGTGTAAAATATTTTGCTTTCCAAACAGAAGGGTAAAAAAGGGTGAAGTGCAATTGTGGAACCATTTTCAATTGAATACAACTAATCATTTTATTGTATACAAGTGAACATAAGTGGTGAAATGTTTAATATCAATATGGCATGTGATAAATTTGCACACCTGGAGCGGCATATCCAAGGGTCCCCCTAAATGCGGTCCATCCTGATGACTGAAATTGATTTCTATCTTGTTGATTTATGAACCTTGCTAGACCAAAATCGCCAACATGAGCCACCATGTCACTGTCCAGAAGGATATTGCTTGGCTTAAGATCACAGTGGACAACTGGCTTTGGCTTGAAATCATGAAGATACTCCACTGCAGATGCTACATCGATGACAATGCTTAGCCTTTGACAAAGGTTCAGAGCTTGTTGACCACCATGCTCGCCCTTGTTAACATGCAGCCATTTGTCCAGATTGCCATTTGGTAGATATTCAAAAACTAAAGCTTTAAAATCATATTGTCTTGGATCTATAGTTGAGCAGGCTGTTAAGATCTTCACAAGATTCCGATGCCGAAGATATCTTAGGGTTTCACATTCTGCAAGAAAACTATGGGATGCTCCCCTCTCCTGGAGCTTGAGTATCTTCACTGCAACAATACTATGTTCGCCGAGGCTCATATTTCCCCTGTACACTGAACCAAATCTTCCTTCACCAATAAGATTTGCAGTGGAGAACCCATCTGTTGCTCTAGACAGATCAGCATAAGAAACTCTTGGTAGTTGGCTGCTAGAAGCTATTGGATCTAATTGTTTTTTATTAGATTTATGTTTCCCATATTGAAATATGAGAAAAGATATGAAGATGAGAGATAAAATTGTTGACACTGACACCACTACTGGTAACCTTGGAAATTTTTTCTTTCTCGTTGATTGCTTCAAGCATGGTGGCAAACCTAATGCCGGGATACCACCACACAGACCATTGTTTCCAACAATTGAGAATGCTGTTGCATTATGAAATATCCCAGCATCTGGAACTTCACCTATCAAGTTGTTGAAGGAGAGGTTCAGATATGTGAGACCAGCAAAGCTGCTAAAAAACTCTGGAATGGTCCCAGATAGGTTGTTGCTTGAAAGGTCCAGCTCCTGAAGGCCTGTTAACTTCTTCATTGTAGAAGGAATTGAACCATGAAGGAGATTCTGTCTAACATAAAGATACTGCAAGCTTTGACAGCCTCCGATGGAGACAGGAATTTCACCAGTTAGCATGTTACCCATGAAATCAACAACTACCATGTTCCTCAACAAACCAAGCTCTGAAGGTATTGGGCCTACTAGCATGTTGTTCTGGAAGCTTAAATCTATTATTGTGTCAGCTAAGAAAACTTCATTTGGTATTTTGCCGGTAAGATTGTTATTATCAAGGCTTAATATACCCAATGAGCATTTTCCAAGAGATGGAGGAATTTGCCCGGTAAGTTCATTGCCAGTTAGATAGAGTTCAATCAACTGAGTGAGATTTCCAAGTGTCGGTGGGATCTCCCCTGATAGTCTGTTTTCAACTAGAGATATCACATTCAATTTTGAAAGCGTACCAAGAGAAGAAGGTATGGGTCCGGTGAGGAGGTTTGGACCCATGTAAAGCGCCATTAAATTGGTGAGTCCTCCAATTCCCTCTGGTATATTTCCCTCTATCTCATTGTTGAGAATCTCAAGGCGTTCCAGACTGGTAGAAAGATTAGAGAGTGAGTTCGGTAGAACACCCCTAAGCCTGTTGAAACTCAATTGCAGGACTTGTAGATGGCTGCAATTTGTCAAAGCGTCCAAGAAGGCCCAGTCAGCAGCTTGATTTGCCTCTAGCATGTTGTAATCCAGGCGCAGTTTCAACAAAATCTTGAGGTTTCCTACACTTGAAGGAATTGTGCCATAGAACGAGTTATTATCTAATTGAACTATGTTGAGCATTGAACAGTTGAAAAGTGATAAAGGGATGTGGCCATGAAATTTGTTTCCATTCAACGCAAGTCCCCGGAGATGAGGAAACTTGTCTCCAAAATAGTCTGGCAAAATTCCACCTAGCCTGTTATTTTGCATGTCCAACTTCTGAAGAGAGGAAATGTTAAATAACGATGGCGGGATCACCCCCACGAGGTTGTTGAATTGCAAACCAAGATAAACTAGATTAAGAAGATTCCCAAATGATGGAGGAATGGTGCCTGTGAGCATGTTTACTCCTAGAGAGAGATGGTTGAGACCATAAATATTTCCCAAGGAATGAGGAATCTTACCACTAAGATAATTTCTTGCAAATCTCAGTTCAGTGAGGAAAGAAAGGTTACCTAATGATGGAGGGATGTCCCCAACAAGGTTGTTGCCTGCTAAACTGAAAGTGTTAAGATAAGGAAGGTCACCAAATGATGGTGAGATGGTTCCAGAGAGACTATTGTTTTCTAGAACCAACCATGACAACGAGGAGAGATTGCTTAAAGAAGCTGGAACAGATCCAGACAGTTTGTTATTCCCGAAGTCCATGTACTGCAAAGAATGAAGCTTGGCAATTGCTGCTGGGATGGAGCCAGTAAGGCCATTATTGCTCAGATCAAGCAAGTATAATTTTTTCAAGTTACCTAATTCAGGGGGAATGCTACCATTTAGGCCATTGTCAAAAAGATTGAGGAGCTCAAGATTTTGCAGTGTACCAATCTCACTCGGTATCTCTCCTTCAAGATAATTAGCAAAAAGTTCAATTGTTCTGAGGACTGAACAGCGGCTTAGGTTGGCTGGAATTGTTCCTTGGAGGTTATTATACCACAGGCTTATGGTCTGGAGCTTTGAGCAGCGAGAAAGATCAACCGGAATCTCTCCCCCAAGAGCATTGTCACTCAGGTTTAGATGCTTAAGATCACCAAGAAGGCCGAGCTCATGTGGTATGTGCCCACTAAACTGGTTCATTGGCATGTGGAGCCTTCTGAGGTACGTGAGGTTGGAGATGGAAGGAGAGATAGTACCGACCAGACCGAGGGAGCCGAGGTCGAGACCCACAACGCGACCACGACGATGGCCATGCTTCCCGCACGCCACACCTTGCCATCTACAGAAATGGAGCGACTTGTTGCCCCATGAGGACAGCGCTCCAAAGGGATCCTTTGTTATGAGTGACCTGAACGTGAGGAGCACGGAGTGGTCCGAGAAGTTGGTGGTGGCTGTGGCAGCAGGAGGTGAAGGTTTGGCAATGGAAGAGGCGAAGCATGAGGTGCTAAGCATCAGAGCAGCTGCAAGCAGCAGGAGGGTTGCTGCTGCCCAGTATTTGCCTATCAAAGGTCTTAGCTCCATTGAACTAAGATGATCAAGAGGTGAACTGTGTGAGTAGTATGTATGTGTAATGCATTGCATCTCGAGTCTCAACTAAACCTAGGCCATCTGTCTTAAATACTTTCGTTCGGAATGCTAGAGTGCTAGTACTATGGTTGAAGTCATGTGAGGGGGACAGGACTGGCTGCCGCGTACGACACGGTCCATTGATAGTCTACCCGGCCTGTTAGAAGCTTCGTACGTTCTATAGTACAGTACGCAGCATGATTTGAGCCTGACTGGGTGACTTAACTGGCACGGCACACGGCACTGGGGAAGAAAATTGGACACATTTTCAGTGCTTACCGTCAAACAAGTCAGGGACGTACAAGAATAATGCATCTGTTCCTTCTCTCCTCAATCAAGATGCATTTCGTAACTTTCTTCTAGACCATTTGTTTTTCAAGCAACTTATTTAGTTTGAAATGCTTTGGGACTGCTGTTCTTTTCTTCTAAATATATGACATCGACTCTTTAATTTGGTAGTTCTTGTCGACAGAATCATCTGTTATTTGTTTAACGTTTGATTTAGTTTGAGTTACTAGTTATAACATGGGTCAATATATAGTTTGTTCTCTTGTGTGATACTCTCTGATGTACACAGGAGTGTTCACACCAGTTTCCACCAAAGAGTGCTACGTGTGTTAATTAAGACTTATTAGTACTAGTGTTAATTAAGACTTATTGGTACTAGGAGACGGACACCAGTATCCACCGGAAGAGTGATACCTGTCTTAGTTAAGATTTATTAGTACCAGTAAACATGTCCGTCTATTGCAGCGGAACCTATAATTTATTGTTGGTGCATGGCCGAGCGTAGGGACGCTGCCGACATCTCAGTTATTTGTTTTTTCTAGAGTGAGGGATGCGCAAAGGAACAAAACGCCACGCGACATTTTCTTAACCTCTTTTTAAATAATATTTCTAAACAAATTCCTTTTTTTTTTGGTTAGGCGTAGTGGTGTGATTAGATAACTCCATCGTGTCACATGCGCCGGCGACGACGATGCCAAGGCCACGCTGAAAGATTGGTGCAGATGTGGGTGTGGATGACACGCCAGTACGCCATTGGCGCGACAGGCTCCCACGTCACGCCAATCGGCCTAGTGCGACAGGGCCATTGGCAACACGCGTTCTTTGCCTGAGCTCTCATCCATGGACAGTGCCACAGTGGAAGGAAATGCATAACGATGCTTATTCTACGCCAGTTTTTGCTTGGCCAAGCAACGTAATAGCCAATCAGCCTGTTGGCTTGTTGATTTCAGCCAAACCAAATCAGCCAGCCAACTATGTTTTCCTCTCACAACAAACCAGCACCAGCCAGCCCAAATCAGCCCAGAAACCAACTAGCGAACAGGCCAAATGAAAGATTTGTTAACGCTGAAAATCAATACATGAGTCATAACTCGTAAGTGCCAAAAATGTGTTATGTTTACTCCCTTCATTCCAAATTGTAAGTTGCTTTAGCTTTTCTATCTAGATACTTTTAACCAGTGTATCTAAACAAGTCAAAACAACTTACAATTCGGAAGGTATAGTACAATACATAGCAGAAACCAAGGATCAAGTTATCGACAACTGGGGAAACCAAGAGTTTGTTTAGACCAAAAAATACAACTTTCACATGCTATGCAGGGCGCAGCCCATGTGTCGGTGAACAAATTCCAACCTTAAAGAATGTAAGTATCTTATCATGTGGTAAACATACAAGGGTAGACAATCTATAACATACCACAAATCTACAGTGCCCACCCAAAAAGAATCGAATTGCAAAATTTGTTATCTAGACCAAATGCTAATTACCATCCAGGACTGTTTCTGTAACCTCAATACTAGACCACGTACAACGCCTTGTACAATTGGAGAGGAACTTGTTTTACATGACTATCGAGTCTGAACATGTGGCAACCTACAATTGTGAGAAGAAAGTTTAAACCCACAAAATATACTAGGAAAATTGATGGTCTACCCTGGCACGCAGACAGATATTTTGTTTTACATGCCAAACATGAACAATATTACATGTACTACTCAGGCCTAGAAAACATTACATACAACATAGGTTTGTTCAAGGATTTGGGAGCACAGTATTCTTTGACCATTTAATTTTTCTTTCGCTTGTGAATATACATAATGGTGCTTACCTTCTTTACACAAAAACAACTAATCTGCTGGTGCAGAATGTTGTCGTAATATCTCTACTATTGGTCAGGAGTCAGCACTGAAAAGAAAAAATCAAAGAGCAAAAAGTAAGAAAGACCGTAACTGAGTCATAAGAGGTTAATTATTGGGTGTCAAAACAGCTTTGAGATGAACCACACAATTTAGATCGACAATTCAAATTGCTGAGTCTAACATAAAAGCATCAAAACATGACATGATTCATTGTGTAAAAATTAAGCTTTCTAATGGGGTAACTTTTTTTGTGCATGCAGTCTATGATTGAACAGTTCCCTTCTAACAGAAAGTCATACTAAGATTTCAATTACGATAATGGTACAGCCTTTCCTTAAGATCCACTAGATACCTAATACTTGATAGTGAGCCCTGCAGATAAATTAAGTTACGGTCGTAGCCAGTTCTTAACGATGATGTTTATGAATGTTCATATCATGTATTATATCACGTTCTGTCTTGTTCCAGAGGATTTCTAACACATACATACTGGCATTCTAGTGATAACAGCTGAGGGCAAGGGATACAGGATACTACTGTGTGTATAATAGAGACACTAGCACCCATTCACTGGATACTTAACCTACATATATTTTTTGTTGAGCTTGGGATCAAAAGAGATGACTAAAGATTATTGGACTGTACAGTGTACACTTCCACTACTACTGCTTTTATGCTAATGAAAAGTTCCTTCATTGTTCATACCCCAGTGTTCCTCACCATCATTCCCATTCACAAGGACACCGCCATCTATTGAATCATCAGGTTCAACTTCAACAGCATCCTCCTGACTTTCCTCAACTCCTTCATCCTCAATGACCTGTAGAAATTCATTTGGTGTCAGCATCATGCAGTAACTTAAGAAAGTAGAAGAGCAATAGAAGCAACTGTGGTAAAAATAATATTAAGGCACCAGCAAATATATGCATATGTTTCTGAGCTGATCCCAGCTGTTCCTATGAGTTCAAAGGGATGATCAAAAGACAGAAACCAATCCAGCACACAAATTGTGCTAGTAACCAACCCAAATGTAATACCTCATGAGCAGGATCTTCATTCTCACTTGGTACTTCTTCCACATTCATACTTTTGAAAACTTCCACAAGGCTCTCATTGGACCTCTCCGCATAAGTCATGTACTCCTCAGCAGGTGGGTAGACACCCCTTTTCAGAAGTCAAAACAAGATCTTGTCAGGATACTAGTTAAAATGAAAGGTATGTCTTTAAAACTACATGTCCAACAACGCATTTATCCAAATGGTCCCATAATCTTTGTTATATCAGAGAAAATTGCAGCACAGGTAAATTTGCTAGGTGGGTGCATGCATGTCATAAAACATATGCATTCCTTAAATGAATAACAGAACTAGTTTAAGGGGTAAGGTCACTCAAAACCTCACACCGCGGCTGATGTTGGCCCTAACTGAGATGCCACATGGATGCGCTCAGTGTCTCAGTTTATCACTCGGAAAAATATTCTCTCATTGCTCCTCCTACCATCTCTCTCTCCAGACTCCAGCAGTAGCCATAGCTTGGTTCACTGCTGCTGCTGTTGGTGCATCACCTTCGTGGACCCTCCCTAGGTAAGTGGCTAAGATGACGTGGCCACACTGAAGCCACCGGATACAAGGGGACCATGGAGGAATATGGGGGAGAGGTCACAAGGCAGGTGGGAGTATCCTTCCCCATCTAGTTTCTAGTGCCATGGTTGATGCATTGTGTGCGTCATTTTGTAGGAGTGAAAAGGACAAACCTAAAATCTGTCTTCAATGCACTCTAACAACAAAGAAGATTTCACATTGAATTTAATTCTACAATACATCATCTTTTCAAAAAAAAAAAGTAGCCTATGAACATTGGTACTCCCTCTATCTCAAAAAGAATGCACTTTAAAACAGTGCTATGTTAAAGTATGTCAAGTTTGACCAAATTTATATAAAAAAAAATTACACATATTTATCGGGCTAAATAGATACCATTGGATTCATCATGAAATATATTTTCATAATATACTTATTTGGCATAATAAACATTAATATTTTATCTATATATTTAGTCCAACTTTAGGCACTTTAACCAAGAATGCACGTATAATTGCATTCTTTTTGGGACGAAGGAAGTATGTTACAGTGTCTGCCATTATTTCAAATCCTGCAGTTCAGCATTAGAATAATCCAACTAGATGATTTTGTGCCAATGTGTTACTTAACAGCAAAGAAGGCACAAATGCATATGAAAACAAATATCAGAAAAGTACAGGACATGGCAAAATATTTGGTGCAATCGTGAAAACCCTCTTGAAGTACATACCTAGAAGTTTTCAAAAAATTTGAAATGATGCCCATCCATAGTGCATCTACAAATGTTCACTGTCACAAAATTTAAGATGCAAAATTGTTTTCTAAAAGTTTACATGAAAATGACAAATTTCAGGTGCATATGTACTAGAAGACAAAACCACAGGAATTGTGTCTTCTAGTGCACATACGCATGAATTTTGTTATTTTCATATGAATTTTTCTAGATTGAATTTGAATCTCAACTTTTGCAACAATGTACATGTATATATGCACTAGGGATATGCATCGTTTCAAAAAAAAAATCAAGCCTCAAGGTACGTGTTTCAAGGGGGTTTTTACGATCGCACCGAAGGAGTGGTTTGCACTTTGCACCGAATATTTTCTCAGACAACATTGCTCAAATATTGCCAGAATACTCTAAGTTTCTATTGAAACTGCACAATATTGATGGATTGCCTGTTTAAATCATTGAAGGGTACTAAAAGCTTGATAAATTGATTTGAGCTATATAATCCATAAGGACTAACAAATACCTCTTGGGAGCAATGGTAGCTTCTACATTGAGAGCAATCTGCCAGTCCTCGAACAGGTTTGGGTACTCAGCAGGATCTGCCAGAGATTCTGCAGCTTTGGAGTTCACCTTAAAAGGCACAAAAAAAAGGTGATGAAACAGCACTTGCTAATAGCTTGAATAACAGCAGCAGAGTGTACACATCGGCACAATAAATAAGCTATGGAAAAACATCGATGTTTTGTATGATCGAAGTTGGTACATGTGATTCATCAGCCTAAGAATTCAGTGTTACATGGTGAATCTTAACTTGATACTGATCTATTTGAAGTAGACAAATTAGAATCCTGCATTCTAAGCATTCCAAAAACAATGCAATCCCGCTTCTCCAAAATTCTAAATTTGAACCCAAAGCTAATTTTTCTTTGATATCTAGAATACTGGTAATCGGTGCTACCATGACATCATGATACATATACGAGTATATAAAGTAAGATATTGTTTTAAAACCTTAACATCATCGCTTTGTTTTAACAGCTAATCTTACATTCTCAACAACCTCAATGCAACAAGTTACCACCATAAATAAGGTAAACGTTAGTAAGAAATCATCCATTAACAGTTAAAATATTCCACCAATTAGCTTAATTTCCTAATACTCATATTAGTGATAGCTCTACAGTGATAGACAGAAGAAAGGAAGTGCTATAACACCAGTCAGAAGCCCGTAGAACAATACCAAGCTAATGCATAATGAGTACCATGGATCTAGCACTGAACGTCTTTTTTTATAAGCCTAGGAGTGAGTGTGGTGGGTGTTGTAAGGGTTTCTCCAAGCCCCTCTTGTTCTTAACATAATGATACATAGCTCTCCTGCATGTTAGAGAGAAAAAAACGAGTACCATGCAGAAATATGTTCTTACAAATTGAGGTGACCATTTATGCTTAAGAGAATAAGAAACAGAGCATATTAAGTCTTCACTTTATGGGAAAATGCGAAGTGTGATTGGAAGGAAGAACAAGGGCAGAGAAAGAATTAATTAGGAAGATACCTTTTGAAGGTCCTTTTTCCATATTGAAACAATATCAGAAACTTTGCTTGGAAGGTAAGATCGTGCCATCAATGCTGCTTCTGGAATACGATTACTGTACAGTGAAGGACCAATTGTCAACATATAATGTCCAAAACAAGATGTTACTGAGTAGGGCAAAATGCATTCAATTGCAGAAGCCAACCTATCAACCAACAATTGAAGACATTCTTCCAATTTGCCTAACATAAACAAGCAAAGGAAAGCAACATTGTTCTTTCCTAGTTCTTTAGCCATGGATGCCAGTTTTGTTATCCCTTCAGCATCTCCAAGTGATGAATATAGAAGCAATAACCCACTAAGGTCTGTAGCTTGAAGGAGACATTCTTCTGCCATCTCGAGCTGCGGTTATTGTATATGCAATAAAGTAGCAGTTTATCTCAAATATGCAGGAGAGCTGCTTATCATATCACTAAAGAGGAAGGTAAAGTAGCTGTTCAAGTCCAAATGATTGCACTCTAGAGAACAACAGGGCAAATATATGACAAGGAGGAAGCAGCAAGCTCAATCTAATGGAAAACTATGATAGAAGACTCAAGATTTGTAAAATTGAGAAATGTTATTAAGGCTGCAAGCTAACCATCACAATTACTAAGTACATAGTAACTAGTACAACTCAAATGTCAGAGCTAGAGATACTAGTAATTTGGGGAAAAAACATATCAAGTGAAGCACATCTGCGCATGCATGAAAATTTGACACAAATACCTTTCCAGTGGACATAGCAAGTTCCCCCAACTGCTTCCACTTCGATTCACTCCGTGCCTCAATAGCAATTTCCTGCAAAGCAACTATATCTCAGGGTGTGCTTAAGAAAAGGAGAATTTCTTGGATGATGTGTCCTAAACAGTTAAGAGATAAGTGGTATAATTGCACTATGCCTTTGCAACTTCGAGGCTTCCAAGCTGCACAGCCAGGTCAAATCTGTAATTAGGGTCAGTGGCTATATCAAGGGCTTCCTCCAACATGCCACGTGATTCAAGAAAATGTGCCACACTGCAAGCCAAAAGTAAATCATATAAACACAGGGGCACATAAAGGTTTAAATTAACATCCACTACAAAATTTTCGAACAGTCGAACAGGTTGGCACCTGTTGTGTTGTTCCTTTGGTATGGATGGTAAAACAGTATTTGCACGTTCCAAATCCCCACGCATCACAAGTGTTTTGTACTCAATCAAACTGAGTAGTAAAGTATAACCCACCACACTGCAATAAACAAATTTGTTGTCATAACCCAAAAGCATATCATGAAGGAAGATTAGAAGTAGGTATGCCGCATGCTGCTTACTTAAACTCCTTGTCAACAAGATATACACGACTTTGGTTAGCGAGATATCCTAATAAATACATAGGCCGATCCAAGTGAAACATTGTAGTAACCTGTAACACATGAGATGGTAAATAGACAGCACCTAAAAACCGAACACTCTCAGGAGTAAAACAGATATGCATACAATATGCTATAGATTATGGTGAAATTAAGTGTTAACCTCTCCTCCAACGCAGTAATTCAGGCGCCATGAAGAATTATTGTATATAAAACAGTCTCCGACCCATAACCCAGTACGGACACGTTCATTTATCTCGTGAAGCAATTCAAAGGCATCTTCAACACCTTCCTCACCAACTGATGCCCCTCCATCTAGATGAGAAGAAACTAGATCCCTCTAGATGTTATCAAGTTACAGTTGCGTTAGTAAATAATAAACAAGGCATATCATTGTCAGTTGCAGAATACAAGAAGTGCTTAACCAACACAACAAAAAACTGTGATCTATAGTATCTGCAATTTGTGATGAAATTAACTCACATTGTACTTCAAAATGTAGAATGATGAATCGCTTGCTATTGTTACCAAATCACCACTGTCAGCCCAATATACATTCTGCAGCAGGCACAAGTAATCAATTCCAGTGTCATTAAGGCAAAAAAGAACTAAAAACACATGATGGGTATCCATTCCTGAAGCAAAAGTAACAACTCACTTTTACGTTCACGTCAATTCGACGTATCAACCTGCACTCTGCCCAGTCATAGAAACAAATGAAATCATTTGTACACATAGCAAGCAATACTCCCCCATATATACGTTCTGCAGAGAATGCTGGTCTTATACTTTTCTTCTCCTGAAATTACAGCTGCTGTTATCGGAAATGCAAATAATAATGAAGCATATTTATGTATATATGACATTAATAAGCAATATAATAAGATGTTCCAAACTGACAATCAACTTTTGCTACAGTCGATAAAAATGGATGTAGCTGCTTCTTAAGCGCATAGTTTTCATAAAATAAAACTAGCCATAAACTTTGCTAATTTGAACCTTGGATATATTACTATAAAAAGCAACAGCATCCAAATTGTTTCTCTTCGAACATGTAACACATGGCGTCGCAGTCTATGGTATCTAGTCCCTTGAGGTATAATAAAAATGGAAGAATATAAGGCTCAATAATCCCAAGACACAACGCCAAGAACATTGGAACATTATTGCTGTATCTGAAGCGAGGTTTAAGTGTTCTAAATTTCGAATAGGGATGAAAATTGACTAGCATAAAAAAGAATGAAAATAACAACTCATAAATCATGTCACACAAAGAGCAAACCTGAAAGTTTTTACTGTAGATCTTTATTTTTGATGTGCTTTCCCTTACAGCATACTCTCCTTCAGTTGACCAGACAATTTCAAGAGCAGACCCAAAGGATCTATTTCTCCATGCTAGTGCTGTGTAGATAATGTACTCTCCATCTCCACATACAACAACAAACCTCCCATTTGGATTGTGCCGTAAACTCTGAAAGAACAGAAAGGATTAGTTAAAAAAACTATCCTAGCATAAGTTAGAACTAAGTTGTCACAAACCGGTGCTTTCTTCCTTCCATAAAAAGAAAAAAAAAGAGTTTACACATACAAAGAAAAATTCCAATATTTGTTAGTAGAAGCATAATATAAATAACTCTTAGCCCCGTCAAGCAATATTTATAAATTAGCCAATTAACTCTGATTTTCATCATTAATTAATTGAGATAGTTCAGGAAACCAGCAGATACATATACCTTGCTAATGAGAAATGCGTGTAAGCAACATCTAGCAAAAAGAGAAAAGAAGAGCCTAAACACAAAATATAGAAAGATACTGACAACGTTCAATGTCACCAAGGCAGTGACACACTTTATTGTGTTATTAGCAGTTTAGCACGCATAGTGCAAGGCAAAACCATGCAGAACTGTAGGAAGTGCCTTTATTTGTCTATATATACTGTAACATGAAGCAAAAGAGTGCTATTTAAACAAGGCATCCACTTAATATCAAACAAAAACCTACTTGTGGGTAAAGGTCGCAACTTCCTAGCTCCTTCACAGCCAATGGCAGACGTTCTCCATCTGCAATCTAACATATGAAGAAAATTAAGAGTATTATAAATCAGAATATGGAATTAACCATTATCAAAAGGATGGCACGGTTTACAAAGATAACCTCAGCATCCGCACCAACTGCCTTGATATTGACAGTTTGAATTTCGTTATGTTTGGCCCATAAGATTTTACCACTGCTATCCATACTAGCAACAGGTTTTTCACGGCCAATCTTAATCATTATTGTTCCTTCATCATATCCAATGACAACTCTGCAGGAATTGATACATTCAAGAAAACACTGAGAAATTTGGAGAAATCAAGAAACTAAGTTTTTTTTAATACCTTCGTGAGCCCTTCATGTAACCTAATGCCCAAACTCGTTCAAGGCCATAGTTAAGTGTATTCTCAAGCCTGCAAGACAATAGAACCAACCACAATGTTACTACCAAGTTTCTATGAAAAGAAAAGTTAAACTCATAGCCTAAAAAGAGTAAAAGCTTCAAGGTCTGTCACAAACAGAAGGTTATGCTATTAATGAGTAACTTTGTGATCAAATCACAAGCAGCAAGCAACAGCTAATAATTTTGCTAGTATTATGCCTACGAAGGGTGGGCCTGGTGCAAGCGGTAGAGTCTTACCGCCTGTGACCGGAAGGTCCCGGGTTCGAGTCGCGGTCTCCTCGCATTGCACAGGCGAGGGTAAGGCTTGCCACTGACACCCTTCCCTAGACCCCGCACAGAGCGGGAGCTCTCTGCACTGGTTACGCCCTTTTTTATTATGCCTTATGTCAAATAGCATGGAAAATCATAACAGGAGGTCGAAGATCACATAGCGTCACCACGAGACCATGACATTCACTCCCCAACAAAAGAATCCTTAAAATACATAGCAAAACCCAAACCCCTCCCTCCCTCCCATATTAAAAAAAAACTGTATGAACTGGGATGTACGTAGCAAGGTAAGTTGCTTGAGATACGATTTAGAGGGGGAAAACACATAATCAGGGAAATCTAGAAATCAAAGAAAATCGAACAGTTATATGGGCAGTCATCAGCAGATTGATTACTGTCACCCGTGAATATCTGGAAATTTTACAAACCGAAAACTTGAATCCATGTTTGTAACTATAGATCAACTGTTTTCATTTTTAAATACTAAAGTCCACTTGAATTTTTAAATAATCAGTTACAGCTTTCAACTCAGCTGAGAAATTATAACTGCAACCCATGGTCGTTACAGGACAGTTTTTTTCCAATCAGATCAGATGCAGTATCACGCTGGCTTGTTTTTAATGATAGCACTACCATGGGTCTGATCATGAGAGATTTTGGTTGGTATAATCACTTAATCAGTTTAGCAGAACTTCTGCATAGAAAAACATATACAAGAGCACCACGTACATCAAGATGTAAACACAAAGACAGAATGTCACAAGGCCACAGACTAGAACAGAAATAGCATAAGAACCTGTAGGTAGTGGAGTGCCATAGGCGAACAGTTCCATCCTCTGAACCTGTCATTATTATTGGAATCTCAGGATGGAAACATACAGCAGAGACATTATGTGCATGTCCTTCAAGTGTTTGAACACAGCTCTTTGTTTGATAATCCCAAACCTAATTGAAGTTAACCGATCAGTAACAATGTCCAAAATGCTCATATGTGCAAATGAACATGTCATACCTTTGCAGTTTGATCGTCAGAGCCTGTAATTAGATATGGCCGGTCACCACCAGTGAAGTAATCAACACAATTGACACCTTTTGAATGACCATCCAATGTGAAGTTAGGATCAGGAGAACCAAGACTCCAAATCTAGAAATTTCAAGTGCAGAAAATTGCTTGTTAACACTAGGAAAGAGGAAAGTGAGAAATTAGTACATTATCATTTAAACAAAATGAAACATACATGGGTATACCTTTACAGTACGATCAAGAGAAGCACTCGCAAAAGTATTTGTGTCCTTGGGGTTAAATGTGACTTGCATGACATAGTGAGAGTGGCCCTCAAAAATTTGAGTACACATCCAACCCTTATCCCAGTCCCAAAGCTTTATAAGCATGTCATCTGATGATGACAACACATACGGCAGGGTCGGATGAACAGCCACACACCTGATGTAATCAGTATGAGCTTCGAACAACTTGACCTTATCCATGGTATTATAGTTATACACACAGATGAACATGTCATCGGCACCGGCCACAACCCATTGCTTCCGTGCAATAAATTTAGCCGAACGAACTGCAATTAACATGGTTACATGAGCATAATGGCACAACCACACAAATGCATACAGAAGAGTGTAAACAGTAATGGGCTTGTTTGAGTCTTCTTAGACTCCTTTTCTTCTCTTAATATAATGATACACATTCTACTGCCTGATTAAGGAAAAAAAACATGTAAGTAGAGTGAGAAAGCAACCTGGTAACTCACTGACTTCAAAAGATTTCACCATTGTCTGGTAACAAAATAACACAGAATTAATCAGATCAAATTTTACATCAGCTGTACAAAACCGTATAAATCTTTCAGATTGACAGCTGTAAGAAAAGACTGGAATTAGACAGTGCCAGTGGGTAACGGAACCCCATTTCTAGTGGACAATGTAACCACAGAAAAACTATGTACAATGTGGCCTGTTTTCCTTGACAAGCCCACGGTGGATGGCCTAACCATCACATGTAATCACATAGTATTCTACTTCACAGTCCTTTCCACTCCAATTCATCACATCACTGTCACTCAGCAGTAGAGATAGTATGATCACCGCAAAAGGTCAGTGGACATGGCCCAGTCTCTACTGAACTCACAGACGAACCACCTAAGAATTTCCTCAATACCCATTAGTTGTGGCAAGTTGTATCCTATGTTAACACTAGATTAACAAATTGGCCCATTCGGCACTCATTAAAGCACTAAAACGCTCAAACCAAACATCTCAACTTGATCCACCTACTCCAGCTGAGTTGGTTTTGCACACATTTTTACATCTATGATAACTGATAAGTTGCTACAGAATCGAATATATAATAGATTTTATGTTTCTGTTTCTCTCCTTGATTATTAGTCTTTACCTGCTCTTCAGAACTTCCTCACAATCTCCGTGCATGGAATTAATCATCTTAAGGTGAACAATTATTACAGTCATTAGACCCACAGATACAGGTGCATTCTTATTAATTAGGCAGTGTACGACATGTAACATATTTAAAAACTCTGATATGCTTGTATTAAGAATTCCCAACCATGACATGACAATTCATTATTATTGACACATCACAACAAAATTATTCACTTTCATAATATACGTACTCTGCACATATGAAGGGTAAGAGCTGACAATACATTGATCTTAGGTTGCAGCCTAGCATTTGACAAGTCATATATCGTATTCCACAAACAGGTTGTACATAACAAATATGCACTCATGGAAATTAACAAACAATGTCATATTAACTAGTTGGTGAAAAGTTTGAGTGTTATATAACTCAAAAAGGATACGGGCTTCCTACCTGAGTCTGGTAGTTCCAGATGCAGACGCTGCCAGAATAAAGACTTGACATGATCCTGCACCGAACAGAAGCCCATTATTCCGCAAATCCAACACTCGGGACGCTCAAATGCACAGTAAATTATTGCAGCAATTAGCCAAGACAAAAGGCACCAGCAAATTTACCATGGTTCCGTGGAATGCAAGTCCACGGACTTGACCCTCTCCGACCTCTGCGCGAGCTTCCTCTGATGAAGCAAAATACAAATCACCATTAGAGAAACGACCTCAGCATTGACAACAAAAGGCACGGCCAAATTAACCGGATTCAGCCGGGTATTCTCGAAATTACCTTGATCTCTAACCGGAGCGGCTGCGTCATCATCCGCGCCAACAACAATCAATAAAAACAAACACACAGAAGACGACACAAGTCAGCACACGCATAGCACGTAACACGTCCGAGCCCCAGATCCACGCACCAACCCACAGGTTCGGCCGCGGATCTCGGCTCGGAAAGCATCAATGCGATCCAGCGGGACGTGAAGTGCAAGGTCGCATCGGGATCTAGCGTTTTTCGCGAAGCGGACTGCAGGCCGGACCAGACCGGCCAGCAGACGCGCAGGTAGCTGGTGGCGAGAGGAAGTTACCATTGCGACGTCGTAGGTTCCGGCGCCGGTGGGGCGTAGTTGGGGGCAGTGAGCGTGAGTGGCCGCTCGGGCGGCCGCTCGCCCGTCCGAGAGGCGGAAGGAGCGGAGCTGAGGGAAGGAGGGCGCGAGATCGCGAGTGGAGGGAAGGAGAAGACAGTACCAGTGCGGAAGGTAACGAACGAACTTGCGGGTAAACGGGTCTGTGTGTTTTGTTTAAGAGCGAAGTAAGCGGGTCTCGAGATTCGGGTAGGAGCCTGACGAGGACTTCGCAGTTGATCGGCGGGTCTGCGTTTGACTTTGGATGACCTGGTTGCTAAGCTACTAAAATTACATTTTTAGACCCTACTAAAAACTGAAATAATAAGTATAAATAAATAAATAAATTTACTGAACCGACGTGTAATGGAAAGCTCCCAAATTTGTAGACAGAAATAGGTTAAGTCTGGACAATGACAACAAATGTCAGTAAGCAATAAGGAATAGAAGTTACTACTAAGCATTGCCAAACTCTACTAGTCAATCATTTTAAATTTTATCAACATAAATATTTAAGTAGTTAAATAGGGTAAGATAAAATTCACTTGATTTATCATGAAAGGTATTTCCAAATTTTATTGTTTTTTACCTGAGGTCGATGAATGACCACGTTTCTTTAGTGGTCTGTAGACAGATTTCCGAAATAATAGAAATAATATTTCACTCCCTCCATCTATAAAAGAATGTAATTCTCAAATTTTGAGTGATTTTAAATTTGACCAAAGTTATACAAAAAATCGCTAAAGTTTATGAACAAAATAGGTATTATTAAACGATTTATGGAATAATTTTGATAATAAACTTGGTTGGAGACATAAATATTAATATTATTCATTATAAACTTGATTAAATTTAAGTTAGATTAACTTGTACAAATCCCATAGCTATATCATTTTGTAGACTGAAAGAGTATCATCATTATGCTTGGAGCTACAAAAGCCTTGACGAAATGTCAACTATTCAAATAAATGTTCGGTAGACCATTGGTAATAACATGGGACCAGGTTTGGATTGTCGTCCCACTATCATAAACTTTACAGTAGTTCAATAGTTCACGGTTTTCAAACTTATTGTATTTAGAATTCTATTCCATCGTTCTATAACAAAATATAAGTTTCACTTTTCAAAGAATCAATCAATATCAAATTTGATTAAATATATGAAAAAATTATATATATTTTAATGTGTAAGATATATAAATATTTATGCTATTTTCTATAAACCTAATGAAGCTTGAGATTAATTGGCCACTCGAAAAAAAGATTTATATTCCCTTTAGAGCATGGCTAATGATTTAGCCAGTTGGTGGCTATATGCTAGTGCTATGACAACTCATCTAACAGCCCACTTGCATAATAGTTAGATCTTGATACATACCGCACGATTAATGCACGGGTCTATGCCATTCTCTCACAAGAATTCCCTGTATCTTAGTATAAATTTGACGCGGCAACTCATACAGCCCGCTTATGTCACCTTATTATACTTCCTCTTAGTGAGTATGGTAAACGAGTCAATGGTGAAAGTGTGGGTGCATAGATTTACCTTCGTATTTAAAACACCAATACACACATTTAAATTTAAATTTAAATAGATATAGGTATGCATATTCCAAGTTGGTGAGTGTGAAGATGGGAGGTTCTAAAAAATATTGTCCCTTTTGAGTCTCCACCTACCGAATTCCCACCTATCTATCCATCTAAAAAAGAATGCTCATCTTGTTTTATAATAAGTCAATCAATCTTAAACTTAACTAAGTTCATAAAAATATTAGAGTTATGCACCAGTGGTCCTCGAACTTGTAAGGGTGTGTCATATGGGTTCATGAACTTTGAAAATGCATTTTTGGATCCCTAAACTTGTTAAGAGGTGCACAGCAGGTCCATGGCAGCCATGTGCACATTTATTTGCTGACGTGGCGTGCTAGCATGGCATATATTTTTCATTTAACCCCTCACATCTATTTTTCTCATAAAAAATATACCCTAGCGTGCCCTGCTCATGAACGCAGGCAACAACGCCAGCAACACTAGCACGCCCACGCCCAAGGGATGCCCTGCCTCCTCCAGCCGCGACGTGCTTTGATCACCTACGCAAGCTGTCGTCTTCAGATTTTCTCCTTGTAGTCCATGTGTGTGAGCTCTACATAGAAGACGTGGTGTCCAGAGGCCGCGGTGGCTTCTATGTCGGCATCGGCGTCGATGCAGAGTGGTCGAGGGCACACCACGCACAGGCCATGGACGCGCGCGCTCGTTCGTGCTGGTGGCGTTGTCGTACTTTTATACAGTGCAGGTGGCGTGGTTGACCTTCATGTGCTCCTCCTCGGAGAGGTCATCGGTGGCGAGGACGAGACAGGCTAGGGAGGAGAGAGCCACCGCCGTAGCTAGGGGAGGCGGGAGGAAGGGGACGGCCAGAAGAGGCAGCAGAGGCATCGCGTTGCACGGCGATGGCACTGCTGGTGCGCCCGCCGCACGGTGTCGAAATGGCGTTGATGGCCCACGCGAGCGCCTCGTCGGCTAATATCGAGAAATGCCGCTCGCAGGTCCAGGCAGGGCAGTCAAAGCCGAAGAGGCTGTCTTAGTTGTTCATGTACCCGATCTCAAGACGTGGCACACGTTGCGGCCAGAATATATGAAAGCGTGCCAGGAGAACAACAGGATTGGCGGTGTGACAGAACCGTCCAATTTATACAAGATCAAGTACGGTTGTCCCCGCTAACACGTTGACACACCCATACTTTCACTCATATAAACCCGATAGTCCGCCGAGTGTCCCGAAAGACCTCGGTAAATCAACATCACAACCAAGATCGCGTGATTAAGCAAATACACATCACATACATCGAGTTGCAGCGGAAATAATATTACAAAGGGGTTAACAAATAATAGTACAAGTTTGGGTTTCAAAACTGATTAGTGAAAACAACATAGCTTTCAAATGATTACATTAATATAAGTTCCAAATATATTGCTAGTATAAGTGACATCATCCGACAAAAGCATATAGACGAGAAGTAACTATAGAATCACCGAGCCCATCCGTGGTTAGCCACCATCGACAGCATGTGTCGAGAACTTCACCGCAACAAGGTGGGATAAACCACGAGTACTCGAATGTACTCACCCGGACTTACCCGTCGGAAACCAAAACAAATGACACCAAGGATCATGCAAGGCTTTCTTTAGTGGGCTAATGACTTGTTTTGCGAAAAGCATAAGCTATCATAAAGAAACCATTTTAAGTACTTTGCATCATCTTTATTATGACCTATCCATCTAGGTAAGCACACTGTACTATAGCAATCACTTGATTAACCGGTAACATCCGATTACCAACTTAGATTTAGCATATCCCATATCATCCAGATAACCATCATTATTCCATAATAATTACTACGATGCCGTAACTCGAGTCAAGTGCTCACTATCCAGGAGCGATGGCGATTCGAATCGATTTCTAACCAGCTGGTGATTTATTCCTTACACAAACCTCACTCACCCGCTAAAGTGAGATATTGATCACCGAGTCAACTATCCAGAATCTCGAGTTTGTCAGAACCACATGTACCCGGCGACCAACCGATCGCACTTTGGTCTTATCATCTCGCCCCGTGTCCTACCACACTGCTTCCGACACGGTCTTGCGCATGGGCAATCTACTCGGCCCGAATAATCTCCCCGCACCAGCGGTCGGAAGGTACTTTATCCGCCCGACTAAATGTAAGGCATGCGTTCAACATGACTCGAGGCCCAACAACGGACGGTCCTTAATCGACATAGACGGAAACTAATAGCACCCCAGAACCCTGTCTGGTTGCCTCCAACTTTTCTGTCCGGTCTCTAATTATCCATCACACATGGTTAATTCCAGGATATCATTCTTTCCATAGCTAAATTCTTCCAGTAACCACCTATAAATGTAGGTGACCGGATATCACCGATCGCTACCGGTCTAAGCAAGGCTAAGCAGTTATTCGATCCCGACCAAATAGGGTAATAAGGTAATAAGGTAATAAGGTAAGCAAGGATAATACTAAATGCATCAACGGTTTCAATCAACTCCTACAACTTAATGCAACAATATATAACTATATAGAAAGAATTGCTTTTATAAAGTAGGACACTTAGAATGCTTCGGGGCTTGCTTGGGATCCGACACAAGTCGATTCGGTTAGCTTGCACCATCTCGGTGACATCTCCGGTCCTAGCACTTGCTTAGTCCTTCCATCTTTGGGATAGATACTCCATACATCGTCTTCGGGTTTGGCTCCAACATCATGTTCTTCACGTGGTTCATCTAGCGCACCTAGATGAGATGCAAGATGCATGTGTATGAATGTGATGAATTGTAACACAAGATGCATCACATAAACATTCAAGACAAACACAAGATTATGCAAGACATAGACACCAATAGCTATTTAACTAACCTCACACCACTAACTATAGAGAGCAAGCTACTCACATCAACTCATATCAAGCAAACAAGTTATTCACAGAAATCACAGAGTCAAGGCTACAACAGCAACAGCTAATTTTACTCATAACAGGAGTTGTACTAATCCAAAAGACATGCAACAAGACAATCTAGAAAGCTTATGGAATTTTCTACAATTCATCTTTAATCATATTAGCATGATTCTCAAGTTAACTAAGTCAAATATATCCATTTACAGAAACTGGTCCACAATTGACAGAAA